CAGATAATTGGGGTCAAACGGCATGAATTTCTTTCCCCCTCAGCACCTCCCAGGTGTATGAATATAGCAGGAGTCCCTCTCTGTATAACAGATGCCTTTTCGCCCTGTGCTTCTTTTAAGAATGTGTGAAACTTCTTTCTAGACGTCAGCTCCTGAAATAGCTTGAAAGAGTAATTTGGTTGATACAACTCCCTTATAAGATTGTGGGTTTTTTTTCTCCTGAGAAGTTGTGGTTAATCTGTAAAATACTTGCTTCCCAGGGTAAGTAGCAAAGCTGTGGATCTGCCTGAGACAGAGGAATAGACAAAAAGTTATAGTGGGTGGAAGGAACTGCTAATGCAGCATTTGCAGACAATTTCTGCAAACTTTTGAATTAATAAACAAGTGCATCAGTGAGTAGTCTAACAGAATGAAGATGCTCCTGGATTTAAAGCTAAGCATGGATGATTCTGCAGGATCAGAACATCAGTGATGAGCATTAAGAGCTTTGGAGGAAAAATTAAATCTTGTCATTTGTCATATTGATACAACTTAAACTCTAAATCCATTTTAGCTGAATTACAGTGGTAGCTATTTGTGTAGTTAAGAGAAGGAATGCTTGTAAGTCTGTGTATAATCTGGATGCTGAATGCCTACACAGACCCAGACTTCAGTTTTCACCCTTTTCCTGCATTGTGACAGCATGGATAATTCAGATTATATTCTCTTTTGCTTGGGAAAGGCCAAGTGAAATGCAATTTGAAGCTCCTGGTCTGCATGCTTGTAGACAGACCAGAGAAGATATAACTGTGCTGTGCCTAATCTTCAGTTTACAGTGAGACTGCCTCTTGCTTTGGAGGCCCATGTACTTCATTCAGTTTGATCACAGCTTCCAGGGAGCAGAGTGGGGGAGAGAGGTTGTCAGCCAAGAGCTGTTGGAGGCACAGATGGCATCGATTCCCTCACCTAAGCAAATTTGATTCCCTTCAGAGTATTTTGCATAAATTAAACTATCACTCTTAACTTTTACAGCTAGAACTCTGTAAAATTCTTATTTTTACCACTCTACTATTACTGTATTAAGAGTTTATTAGAAGATTATTCATTTTAATAAAACTGCTGTATTAAGTAAATCAACTGCAATGCATGATTCTGCCATATTTGAAGCTGTAAATTGCAGGGGTTTTAGAGTGCAGAGTCTGTTGGGATTTGAAGAGCCACAGAACATACTAGCTGTTTTGAAAGGACAGTAAACTGAGGGCAGTGCTGTCAGTGAAAGCGCAGATGCTTCTGTGCCTTTTTTTTTGTTGAACACACTTCACATAAAGGTTGTTGAATTTTCTCTGCCTCTCATTCAGTGCCCTTTTGTTGTTTCTGGATCCATCTCAAAAGAATGTGATGTTCAATCTACTGCCTTCCTACATTACTGTGCTATGTTAACATGCTATGTTAAATTTGATCCATAGATCAGCATTCATAACATTTTGATCATGAGAAGTTGTGGTTAGATCAACAGTTTGTTTTAGGAACAGTCTTTACAGTTGAAAAGATTCCTGTTCGCCGTCTCTGGCTGCTTCCTGCTTTCTTCTATAAGATCTGTTAGCTAAGCTAAGAGCACAGCAAGAGCTGTGTAACCAATGCTCAGCCAAGGAGAGATATTTGAATTAGGGGGAAAGATTTTATTTAAAAAAAAAAAAATGTATTTCCTTATAACCTAGGAGAGCATTAAGATCTGAACTTCACCTTGCCAGATCACGCTTCTTATATTTATGCTCATTGGAAAAGAAAAATTGTCTGAGTGACGTCGATGTACAGAATTGTTTATTATAAATTTAGCTGTTGGAGAGAAGGCACTCATACCATCTTTTTCTTATGAATAATCTTCAGATGCTACTTACGTAAAGTTGTTCAGCAATTAGGAAACCAGACAACTTAGGCTGCAACAAAGTATAATATAATAAAGGTAAAAAGAAGCAAGCACGTACAAATGTTGTACAGAGCATGAGCTGGAAGGTAAGCCTAGGATATGCTGAAGTTTAAATCACTCAAAACACTGTGAAAGCATTTTCCTGTTTGCACAGAAAAAGGTAGATGGTGTATTCAAATGGCCTTGGAGAATGTAGAGAATCAGAGAATTTTCCATAGGAATAGAAGTGCCAGTCACCAATGAGAGTGTCCTCAAGTTTCATTCCATCATCATGACTAACAATATATCTCAGTAGGAAGATAGGGCGATGTAATATGCCAGAAATATTATGCAGTTCTATGTTCATTCCAGCTATTTTGGCTTCCTGTGGAAATAATTTGTGGGCAAATAACCTACAACCCAGATGAACTCTTCCACAGATGCTGAGGTGCCATAGTTGGCTGTCTGCAGGGCCGTCTTCCTTCCAACATGTTTTATTAGCTGTGGCAGAGCAGTGTGTGAGTGCAGCTGTACCACTTCTGAAGCCAGGCTGAGTCTAGAAACAGTTTGGCTGTATTTCAGCGTCCAGGCCAACAGGCTGTGCCAGCCCTCTCTGGTGTCAGTCTGCAAACAGGGAGGTTTGTGGAGCCCAATGCTGATGCTTCTTGGTGGCTCCTCAAAGGGCCGGCTAGGAGTTTGCAAGACTTCAGCAGGGCTTATGACTCCAGCTTGTTCTGTATGGAATGGATGTTTCAGCAGGATGTTCACAGGGGATGTGGTCCCTTGTGTTCTGGGCAGACTTGTTATGAATAGGGCCAGCTCAGGTTCAATGCTAAAACTGAGGTAACATCTGTCTGTCTCAAAACACTAGGAAGCATTTCCAAAATTACCGAAGCCATGTGTGGACTTCAGGAAACCTCAGATCCAGCACTGTGCAACAGTAAACGTGGATTTACATACAGTCAGCTATAATGTAGCACTGCTTTCCCTAGCATTCTATAGAGCACCTATGTTTGCTTCCCTGCCCCCCCCCCCCCCCCCCCCCATCTAGAGTATCCCTTTTGTTTGCCAAGATAAAGGCTGTTACCAAGATCACAAGTGTTACGTAACTCCTTATCATCAAAGATAATGGAAACTTTTGATACAAGTGCTTTCCGATGGGGTGGTGAATGATGGGTTTTTTGTTGTGCTCTTCTGTTTGTTTATATATATATATTTTTTTTTTAAATCAGTGTCAACATAATATTATTTATTGAATCTTTTTTTTTAGATTTAATACACTATGAAGAAAAAAGGAAAAAAAAAATCCCTTACATCAACTCCTTGTAGCAAATTAAGCTTGTTTTTAGATATAAAACTGTACGACAACATAGGTTAGTTTTAAATTTGAAGTTTTCAGGTAAGCTGCTGATGGACTCTTAGTGTCACGTGCTTCTGTTTTAGGCAGCTTTGGCAAAGAGCAACTCTCTTGTTACTTCTGTTTGGGACATTTATCTTGTTCTTTGAAAGCATAACGGAGTTCAAAACCTAAGGTAGTCAAAGGTTATGTGCTCATCCCTCGGTCTCTCTCTGCAGCCTCAGGACCAGCATTTCACAACTATAGGGATTCTTTATTATATGGTTATGAAGTGTTGCTTTTAATTCCTAGATACCTCCCTGGGCTGTTTCCAGTACCCATTTATTAGCATCTTTCACTTTTTGTGGCTAGAATTTTGACTTTGGGATTTCTTAAAAAAACCCCAACTCACTGCTTTCAGCAATCCCAGATGCTTTTAATAATGTCCTTTCTTACAGCTGAAGCAATATCTTTAACCGTCTTTGGTTCTTGTACTTGGAATAGACTGTAACAACACAGGAAGTTAGAGATTAGAAAAATAAATAAATTATGGCCCTGTTAAATGACTGCAGGGACAATTTACATTGTACCTGTAGCAATATCTGAAGAATAAAAACTGTTAAAAGTTTTGACTAGGAATGAAAATAAACAACATGACTAAAAAGTAAGAATAATGTAGATAACTCTTATAAAGAAGACGTACTGTATTTCTTTTTTGTGCATGTAGCCACAGTGGTTATGGTGCCGTGTTAATCTGCTGTCCATTCACACCATTCTTGTGGAAGGTGTTCTGCATTAAACCAATGGTAGCAGCAAACTTGCTGCTCTCCAATCTCATCTTCTTTTGCATTGTACAGATTTTCACAGAATGACATAGGTTGGAAGGGAGCACTGGAAATTACATAGTCCAGCTTCCTGATCAACCAGGCACAGTGAGAGCTGGTTGCTTGGGGCCATGTCCAGCACCTGCTTCACTGGGCAGCTTGTTCCAGTGCTTGACCACTCCCATGGTGAAATGTGTCCTGCCTATATTAAGTTGGAATTTCACATGTGCCTGCTGTGTCTGTGGCCACTTGTCATTCCAGTGTGCATCTCTGAGAAGAGTTCGAATGTTTGCTCTACATCTCTCATTAGGTAGTTGGACACAGCATTAAGGCCTCTGGTTAGCCTGGTGGTCTTATAGTTGAACAAATATGTTATGGGATCCTGACCCTGACCAGTGGACCCACTCCAGTATGCCAGTGTTTTTCTTGTATGGAGAGCCCAAAACTGGACACTACTCCAGATGTGGTCCCATAAGAGGCTGTAAGGATTCTACAGGTTACCATGACAAATACATTGCCAAAATCAGCATACAACATCCACTGCTCTCCCCTCATTCACCAGAGGCAGTCATCTCATAATAGAAGGTGGTTGGGTTAGTCAGACATGATCTGCTCTTAATAAATCCATGCTGACTGTTCCCACTCACCTTTTCGTCTTTCATGTGACTGGGAATGATTTCCAGGAGGGTTTTCTCCCAGATCTTTCCAGGAACTGAGGGTGAGGTTGATGGCTCCAAAGTTTCTCTGATAGTCTTTGCTGTTTTTTGGGAGAAGGATATGGTGTTTGCCTTTCTCCGGTCATCAGCCACCTCCAAGAGAATAGAGAGAATGTCATTGCAGTGACATAAACTGCGTCCCTCAGCACTCGTAAGATCCATCCCACCTGATCTCATGGACTTGTGTATGTCCAAATGTCTTAGGTACGTCTTAACTTGGTCTTTCTGACTGATGATAGGCTTGGAGAACTAGAATGCCACAGGGCAGACATTCCAGTGAAAACCAAGGTAAAAATGTACTTCTGCCTTTCCATATTTTCTGTCATGCTGTGGCTTTGTGTCTTCCTTAGTCTGCTTTTTGCTGCCACTGTTTTTACAGAGCACTTCTTGCTGCCCTTTACATCCCTTGCTAGGTTCAACCCCAGCATTGAACCTAACTCCATCCCTGCATACTCAGGCAATGCTTTTACATTTTCCTGAGTAATCTCTCCCTGCTTCCATCTCTCCTGTGCATTAGTTTTGCATTTGAGTTCATTAAAATTAATCTATCCCAGCCTTCTGACACAACTGCTCCTGCCCATAGAAATGGGCTGTTTGTGTGCTTTGAGGAAGTTGATCTCAAAGATCACAGTTGTCCTGCACTCCTCCTGAAAACCCAGTTAAGGATATGACCTATCTAGTAAGACTGGATGTTTCTTAAAAATAAAATCCTATCATTACAAGCTAAAAATGGATACAATTGCAGTAGAACTCAAATCATACAAACTTGAGAATTCTTGTAATAGCACATCAACTACTTGCAGCTCTAGTAAATATTCCTTTATTATGTTCCTCTACCTTTGTTCCTGATTTTAATATCTATGTTAATATATAGTTTCCATTTTAGTAGAGCTTAACTGTGATGCTAAAACATGACATATGAATTAGACTACAGTGCTTCAAATATGACACAAGTGTATGTAACTCGATGTGAAGGGAAACCGTTCAGGGTACTGTTGAGATCAGTGGGGCCCAAACCAAATGCATGTTTGTGGTCTAAATTAACGGTTAAAAGAATGGTGTAATAGTAGTGGACATCTAAGTTTTCCAGGGTGTTCTTAGTTAGAAAGGTGAAAGTCAGCTGGGTCTTCTGAGTCATAACTGATTTCTTTATGAAAGTTCCTTGAACAGCATCTGGAATGAATGAGATCCAGGAACATTCCTCATCAAAATCGTAGGTAAAATACTGCAAGTCTTATCAAAAATAATCTGATTCTTTTTGAGCAAGCACAGTTCAGTTTTCTCAATGTCAGCGCTTACTAAGCTGTCTTGGTACAAACTGAATTCTCATTTAGGACCAAAAGCTAGATCTGTACTGGAAATAAAATGGGGCCAGGGACTGAGCATGAGCACTGAGCTGCTGCCTGTTCCCACTGTTTAATTGCTGCCATCTTCCTGGTATGGTTTTTGTCTATACCACTGAGAATTCTCTAGGACCTTTTTCTCTCCTGGCATGTTTTGGGTCATACTACATGCCAGGAGCCATTTCTAGCAAGCAGTGTAGGCAAGACTCTGCTTCTGTTTCTTTCCACCTTAATGGGCCATGCAACACTATACCAGCAGGTCTTGTAGCCTCAGACACCTCAGATGCCACTATGTCACACAGCAGGACAGGGAATACAAGCCCTCATTTTCATACCATGAAAACACTATCCTAATAGCTGTTATACAGTCCTTACTTTGAACTAAAAAATCCCCACAAGTAATATCTTGAGGGCATAGGAGTGCTATGTAGGACTTGGAGGAGTATAACCAAGAAGATCCCAGAGTCAATATAAGGTCGGATGTTTAGGAAGAAAGACCATGAGCTCTGCTTGAAAATGAGAACTGTTTCACTATGACCCTGATTTTTTTTTTTTTTTTTTTTTTCTCCTTCAAGGACATTCATTTCCAGGAGAGTCAGGTGGACGTGTACGGTGTGTAAGGTCAGTGTCTTAAACCTGTTCCCTGTGTTGGCCATTTACACTTTGTTCCATGTAATATGCATGCTATTCCGTCTAGATAGACTATCCTTTGCTTCCTGTCAAACCAAGTATGCTGCTGAATAACTGAGTCATGGATGTGTATACAAGCTAAATCCTGTGTTCTTATCTCACTTGCACACACCCACGGTTGACTTAAGGAGGATGAGTATTAAAACAGTGAAGTCAAATATAAAGGTGCTAGAAAACTGGAGTTAATGTTGCGTGTGCCTTATGGCTCTAGGTACTACAGCAAAGCCATGACCCATGCTGTCCATACTGTATATCGTGTGACTCAACGGTGCTATAATGCAAACAACAATCTGAAACAGTTCTTTCTTCCTCTTTGTTGTTTAGCTGTTGGCCTTTACATTTCAACTCTGCTCTGAAGACAGAGTTAATGAATTTTCTCATGGTCTCTCCTGCAGTGCTTATAAGCACTTCACAAAAATTACAATTCAGGAAAATTTCCTGCTCTGATACAATCTTGCAGCATCTCATGGAACTTTGCCAGGAAGTTTCACAGGTACTGACAGCAGAAAGGTTAGAATCAGAAATCTGGGATTTGGCTCCATTTGGCTCCAAATGGAAGTGCATGTGCTTTACGGTTGCAGGAAGCGCTCAGGTTGTTTGCGTTCCCTTGTTCGGGTTCCTGCAATCTGTTCCAGTTCCTGTGCCACTCCAGTGCTAACCGTACCGTCTGCAGGTAGCACTGTGCTAGATATGTTTTCAGTGTCATCTCTCCCCATTGCAGCCCCTTTTCTCTCTTGCCCATGTTAGTGCCAAAGTTCAGTTTCAGCACCATTACCTTACTAGCTGCTTTTTTCGTTATTGTTTTCTCAGTCAGTCAGCTTCGTATCTTAGTGCAGCGTGTTGGTGTGTTCCTTCTGTGCCTGGGTTTACCAAATACCATTTCCCAGCAGCACCATCTGACCCACTTCTTTTTGGTCTCATCTGTGATCATCTTGCAGTGCCTCTGTTCACATGCTGGCTGTATGCTGGAGAATAGAGCCCTCTCTGAAAGCAGCAGAGAAGCCAGGTGCTTGTTGTTTATAAGGAGTGTCTGGCTTCGCTTGTAAATTTGTCCTGGAAGGAGTGTGCTCAGTTACTGGTGGGAAATGATGTGCATGCCATCTAGTCAGCTCAAAGTATAGTGGGAGAGTTCAGTATCTGAGCTGGAGATACTAACTTAAAAAATCTAAAGTCCAAATGAATACGTACCGTATTCTATCTTCAGGAGCTGTGGTGTGCCTCATAGAAAAACCACCTGGTGGTTAAATTTTAAATCTTTGGCTCAGTATCTAGTGTTTTTAAAAAATAGACCAATGGGACATGGGTAAAACAAGTAGCTGAACTTAGTTATGGCTAAAACATTGGGGAAAAAAACTTGACTGAGGAAGATGCCTAGCATGGACAGCTTTGGCTTGTGTTGTCAAAAGTCACTGAATTTATGCCAGCTAAATTTGCTTTTTCCTGGAAAATTTGCTAACATACAATAATTGGCAACATCAACAACACCACTTAAGTGTGTTTGTCATGGATTTAAGGAAGAACTGTGTGTTATGTGAGGAAAGCATTTGATCTCCAGGTTGAAAAGTTTTCTGTGAAAACAGGATGCTACAACAGTAATTTGCTATGTGAAAAGGTAGGGGGTTTCTACTCTCTAACTTGAAAATTGTGTTTTAAAGATGTTTGTATTAACTGATAATTTCTCATTTTATTTAAGTGTCTGAAGAAAATAAGAAACATGGAAGGTCATAAGTAGTAAGTACCTTGATCATTTTTTCTTATTCTAAAGACTTAATAGTGTTTGGCATTTTGATTTGTCACTGCCTGAGTCTATCACACATTATGGTCTGGCATCTAGTATTTATGTGAAGTCCTGGTAGACATTCTGTTTAAAAAGGATAAAAATAAAAAATTAATAACTGCCAAAGAATGGAAAAACAAGTGAATTGACTAGATAGAAAAATGGCATGTTATTAATTTCCTGCTAATGGAAAGAAGTGTATGAACTGTTGTAAAGAGATTTATCTATGGTCATCAACTTCAGAATAAAGTACATCCTTATTTAGTTGTATTTTCTGATTGTTTAACAAAACCTAAATATGTCCATGTTTGCTTGACATGAAATACATTTTAAAAGGTTTTGACAAGTGTCTACCAGTAAAAATTGTCTACTGAATGTTTCAGTAATGTGATTATAAATCTTTTATTATCTTAAGTATAATCAGGAGCCAGGAAATTCTCCAAATGAAATTAGAAGCTGAATTTGTGTGTGGTGATGAAAGATTATATTCTTCTTATTTCTTCAGTTGGTTTATCAGTCTCTAATTCGGGAATCTGTATTAATCCCAGCATTTTTTTTTTTTTGGTAACCTCATATTAATAACTCATTTTTATTCCCTGTACTATGCTCCCAGAACTTCTAGTGACCTCAGGTGAGGTAGATGACAAAGCTGGTTGACATCAGATGAATTATGGTGTTTTCTTCACTTGATCACTGAGCTGAGATATCAGTTATTTGCACAGCTGTAGCAGAAGTTAAAGCATACAACTAGCCAGACAGCTAGGGTCTTTATACTACCATGTGAGCAGGATTTGGGTTTTTTATTAATATTATTTTTAAAGTAATGCTATTTTATTAAACTCTTTTATATTCTGTTTTCTCATAATTCAGGGGGATCTTCTTGTTCTTTGTTAGAGGTTGTAGATTTTGTACTTTAAAGGTGTGACATATATCAGGTCAATACAGGCTTCACCTAACTTGTTAGGCTGTCTGTTGTCAGTCATGATGGTTTGTTTGCAGAATTCTACATGAAATGTGGTATGTTTTGCATGTGTTTTTTATTTTGTACTGTAGCACCAAGAAGGACTTTATTTTTTATTTTAATGAAATTCATAAATTAAACTCTTGAAACTAATGTTTGAGTGGAATTAAATGGATAAATATCTCTGCTTTTAAAGTTTGGGGAAGAAGCCAAGAAGTGCTATATTTAAGTGCATTTTGAATTTTGTCCTTGCTCACTTCCAGTTGAATTTCTTACCGTCTCTTTGGTGATTAAGGCACTGGCTCCTAACTCACTGATGAAAAATAACTAAAGCAAGTAACAAAACCCTGTGAAACAAACTTCCTTTTCAAGTTAAACTGTGCCACTAGTAACTATGTAGGGCAGATGTGCCACCCTTTTGGGAAACACGTGTACCAGTGGCTTCTTGTTTCAGAATGGCTGTAGTATTTCACAACAAGCATATATACATATTATTAGATATATGTGTATATATCTATGTGTATGTTGGGTCTGAAGACCTCTTGGGGTAGCACCCCCAAGCTGTCTGTGTGTTGTGAACAGAGCTAGTAGACGCCATCAGTAATAAACCACAGCCTGTCACTCCACAGGTGGAGGGTATTTTTTTCCTAAATAAACTCAACCTCTTTAATTTTCCTGGGGTATTTCATATAGCAGGTTTTAGCAACCTTTTACTTCTAAAAATCTGCAAAATCACTGCAGCTTTTTATATATGCACGTAGGGGAAAAGGCATGTACTTCTGCAGAAATTAGTAATGGAGTAACACTTCCTGAAAGAGATTGAGGTTTCATTGTTAGGCTATATTTTCTATTAAACCGTTTTGGTATGGTTTAAATATTGTAGAATATGGAGGTTGTCTTTAGATTGTGCTTTTTATTAGGTCTGCTACAGGAATGCAGAATCATCTGTCAGTAGAAAATAAAGACATGAGCTATTTATCTTTCACATAGCACGCTCAAAAGAGATGAGTGTTCTTCTATTTCTTTATTATTTAATTGTAAAAAAAGGGAGGGCAAGAAGTAGTCTAATTCCATTTGTAAAATGAATTTTGTGAAATCTTGACACTGATGAAATTGCATGAAAATTCCTGCCTGCTTAAGCAAGTCTGCTAGTTTACTTGAAACACTGTTAGTTATATAAAAATAAAAAGTTAATCCTATGGGCTATAAATCATTCCATAATGCACTGGGAAGAATTCTTTGCAGTTGATTATTTAGCAGTACTACATGCTGAAGACATTCAAATCAAAAGCCGTGTATTATTTTCCATAGTATGGGAAATATAGTACTAATTTAATTGCTTTTTTATTAATGCATAATGAGGAAATGCATGTTAGAATACATGTGTCTGCATGCATATGCAATATTCTTGATAGAAATGTATTAATCTAGCACATTAGACTTACTTTTTAAGCATCCTATTGAAGTTTTATAATTTTGTTTTTTAATATTCTAGCAATTATCCAAGGGAATTTTATGACCAATATGCTCAAAGCCAAGAAAAATCTGTGGTCAATAAAATGCAACAGAAATACTGGAAAACAAAACAAACCCTTATAAAAGTTACAGGAAAAAAGGAAGATGAACATGTTGTGGCTTCCGATGCAGATCTGGATGCAAAACTAGAGGTTTGTAATGTTTTTATAATGTTTAGTCTCTGGTTGTTAATTTTTAAAATGTTTTCATTTCCATCAAGCCTCTGTGTACATGTAATATATAACAATGTATATACATTTTAATCATTATTTTCTTGTAATATCTTTTCCAATTTTTGACAAAAGTACCTATGTAAATACGGTGATATAGGGATGTTTTGTAATACAAAACCCCATGCCCCTCAAACTGTATTTGGAACCTGACAACTCTTGTATTTATTTTCAGGTTTTGGGGACAGGTTTTTTCCTTTTGTTTTCAGGGGGAGCAGGAGATGGTCCTTTGTGTTTATATCAGTCATTCTTATCCTTTGCTTATATCAGTTTAGGATTTTTTTAAAATAGTATTCTATAGTATATGCAAATGACATCCTTTATACAGTTATAAAATACCACATATACCAGGAAAACATGCAATATACCAAGAAGGAGCAAGGTGCATAGTGTGTTGTGATCTCTGGAGCTTTTGTGCGGGTCAGTGGGTTCAGGTGTGACCAAAGAAGCTTCTGAAAGTCTATAAAGTGTAACCAAGAGTAGGAATCCTGCTGTGTGACAAATACAGTGCTACTGTCGGTATACTCAACCCCACTGGAAAAAAAGAAGTTAAGGTTCTACAAATTGAAGAGCTTGAACATCTTTGACGTGAAGCAAAAGATAGAGAATGGACTTCTGAAGTGTAATAGTCAAGTTAGTGTCCAGCTATGTTTTATCAGTATTGTTTTGTTATGTAAAGGTAGCAGTTTTACCTTACTGGTTTTCTTGTAGTTTCTTAGAGAATTGTTGATTTAGGATTATCAGTTTATTCACATTTTAGCTGAAGTAAGAGAGACTGTTTACAACAAACAAATCTCTGTAGTTCTGGCTATAATAGTGATAACCTATAACGTAATGATGTCTATGGGGTCTTCATGATAGGTTATAAATTATGAGTATTGATGTAAAACAAGCTGGAAAGATGGAATAATATTTTATAAATATACACTTGAGTTCTTACCATGCTTACTGTATTTCAGATTCATCAGGAAGGATGCTTTGTTAGCTCAGGTGGGGTTGAAAATAGGGAAATTTGTGTTTACCAGATAAGAAACTGTAAGCATGTTTTCACTTGGGCAACTTCTCAACTGCAAGTCACACGCCCAGTTTAAAGGCAAAGCCCATGTAAATGTACAAGAAGTCAAGCAGGTGCAAAGGAAGACAGTTACTGTGCCAGTAGTCCATTTTGCATATATTTGTGTACTGCTTTAGGTTTAAGTTACAGATTGGAGGTTTTACACGGATAGACAGTAAGAGTAGTAATTTTTTTGTTTCCTCGAAACAATCTCTAAACTTTGTCAAGACTGACTTTTTTTCCTCTACTTCTTTTGGAAACTGCTGCTTTATAAATTTGGCTGGAAAACCAGAGCTATGCCAGTAAAAAGTTCATTTTAAATCAATAACTTTCTGTGTTGGCATACCAATGCAAGTTCGACTAGAATTTGCAGTATTAAAAATTCAGTGTGTGTATTGCTCCATGATAAACATGTTAGACATTTTGATAACTCTTTGCTCTGATGTGAGTTTTTTAGAAACATCTTCATAGATTTGTACATCTTCATATATATCTAAATATATCAATTAAAAAAACCCCAACATGAGTAGTTTGGTTAACTATCAGCTGTTTAGAATAGAACTGTTTCCAAAATTATTCTTGTCTTTTATTTTCCTTTTATAAGTTGTGATTGGTCTGTCTGTAGTTTCAATGAACAACTTATTTGAAAGAAAAGCACAATTGATAAGGAAAAACTATTCTCAAGATGGAAACATTACTTACTGTTAAAGAAGCAAATAGTGATCCCTAATAATTTCTGAAAAAAAATAAGCTCTTGTATTTTCATCAGTGTTTCTTGAATATATGCTTACAATTTTTTTTATTTTGTTTTAATATCAGCTGTTCCATTCTATTCAGAGAACGTGTATGGAGTTACTAAAAGCAATTGAACTGTATCAAAAAAGGATTTGTTGTAAGTATGGTCAAATATGTAGTTAAAATAATGAGGTCTGCATTATGGAGTCATCAAAAAAGTAAAAACTGAAAATTAAAATGGGGAGCTACTAGTTTCATCCTGTTTAAAAATAATGTTCCTTGCAGACAGCTAAAGGCAGACTTGCTTATTTGCTTGAAGATCTCCTAGTTCTTAAAGTTCGTATTTGATATTATGCAGTGATAGGTAGCAGTAATTATGGGAGAAAGTCTGGGGTTTTTTAAGTTTTTCTTTTTTTCCATTACTTCCTTGCCTTGTTTAAAATCAGAAGTGTCTTGTCTTAGAAATCCTAACTCTTCTGAACTGTTTCAAATTTTTTTTTTTTTTTTTTTTTTAGTTTGGATGGACTGTGAAGAATATTGGGCTTATCACTAGTTTTATAATTAAGTAATCCATGCTATTACAATGAATCTGATAATGGTAACTGGCTGTAACAGGTGTGCAGTAATTAGTGGAAGTCATTAGTGAGAGATGAGGACCTCATTTGGGAAGTTTCAAACAGCAGGTTCTATTAAATGACCCCCGAAGGTTCTCTGCAATCAATATTGTTTAATTCTCTGCTGCTGTGATTTCTGGCTTGGAAAAGAGAATTCAACTTTGGAGACATCTTTCAATTTACTTTCTTTTTTTTGAATGTTTCCATGTGTTCTTGAGTCTTTAGTTTTTATTTTGCCTGTCCAAATAGAGTAGGAGATGATGTTCCAGGATGAGGATTAGAATACAGAATAGCAGTGTATTGAGTTGAAGAAGTGTTCCACAGTAGCAGGAGAAATTTCTGACGCAAAAATGAGCATGCAGCACATTCTACCGGTGTACACTATGAGTCTGCATTGGATTTGACTGTCAACATTTGGAAAAATGACAAAAGGACTCCACGCCATCTCTTCCATTATGTTAGGCTGTTCTCCCTATTGATAGTGGGAAGAAATTGGCACTATAGAAGACAGCCTCTTTGGAAGACTAATAGATGAGGCCATAATAAAATGTTTTTGTAAGGATGTGAGATCATGAAGACCCATGGTCCTAGTTTGGAAGTAGTCAACAATTCAGTGTAAAAACATTTCTATTTTTCTTCATCTTTTTGTTTAAAAAAACATCAATTAATTTGAAACAGAAATATTTCAGATGTTTGAAATATAAATTTAAAAATAGTGTTTGAATTGTGTAGAATGTTATAAGTTGTAAAACAGTCTTATGAAGTAATTTGAAAATAAATGTTCTTTAAAATGAAGTACTAAATTTTTCATATGAAAATCTCATTTCTGTAGTCAAGCATGAAAAACGGAGAGCAAGAGAAAAGCAAGTAAATGAGCATTGGGTAGTATTACTCAGAATTAGCTTGAGTGAAAGTATGCTACGAAAGATTAGCTAAAGCAGTCCAAGTGGTAAAAAAGGATTAAAAAATCTAAACCAAAACACAAAAAACAAACCAACCAAAATATCCAAAGCTAAAAGATACTGCAGTCAAGATTGGGCCCACTGTGTAATCTAACCAACCAAATTCTTTTGTTCAAGAAAGAAATTGCATGTTTCTCCTGTTGTCTTTCAGCACTGATGGAATTTTGTGATTTTTATTTAGTATAGCAACAAATGTCTCAAGTGAATCTGATCATCTGTTTACTAAATGCAGGAATTCTATGAAATTATTTTTGCTGTGCTGCTTGGATTTAGAGTGACTTAACCTATTTGATGGTAGGCCAGTTTTAAATCTATTAGGACCCTATTAAATAACATGTTTGATGACTCATTTATTTTTCGTTAGTTCTGTCTCAGGAAGAAAATGAATTGGGGAAATTTCTTCGGTCACAGGGTTCTCAGGATAAAACGAGAGCAGGAAAAATGATGCAAGCCACAGGAAAGGCCCTCTGCTTTTCTTCTCAGCAAAGGTATGTGTGTCAGAATTACTGTCTAATTTACAAAATTCTAGGATAACGGTAGTTGATTCACCATTGGCATAATTAATTTTGCCATTTGAAACGTGTGAGGAACCAAATGATAAGAAAGTTGTTGACCAAACCTGCTGTAGTATTGGCAGTATTACTGGCTTGCTCTGTGTAGTTTTTCCTGATCCTGTTTTTCATTTTATGGACCTGCTGTGTCTATGTATCTCCAGATCCCGCACCAGTGCCCACTCTCTTCAGCAGTTCTAAAGCTTTACAGGTGCATCTGCAGGGGCTCTAGCAGTGGGGTTGTAAAGGAGCTGATGTCAGGTCCCTCCCTTGCTTGGGGGCACTTCTCACTCTGCAGAGAAATGCTACAGCAGGCTCACTGTGGAGAAGTGTCTGGGTCCTGGAAGGGCAGAGAAATTGATAAGGGAATGCCTTTTTGTGGGCCATGGAGTCCATACTTTAAGTAGACAGAGGAGAAAGGAGGAGTCTGAATGCTATTTTTGTCTTTAACCTTACACCATGAAGTCCCCCAAGAGAAGTTCCTAGATCCCCAGTAAGGTCATGTAGGTTGGGTTGGAGCAAATCAGTAAGAAATAAGGAATCCAGAGGGACACACAAACATGTGTGGTTACCCAGAGCCCTTGATGTCTCACTGCCCTGTGTTTGCTCGAAGAATTTAAAAGTAATAGTGCCTGATGGCATTATGAGTATTCTGATGCTTTTTTAAAACAATATTGGGACTATGAAAGCTTGAAATTCACCGTCATTTGCAGGGGAAAAATCTATTCCGTGATATTTTATAGGATTTTTTGGTCTCTCAACTGTTCTGATACTTTCCAGCTTTAGCTTAACAGTGCAGCTGTTTGGCTCAAAATAAAACGTCTCATACAGAGCACTGAGAATTTCATATGTTTATCTTGGGCTAGAGTTTGGTCATTAGCACATCCAGTAACAGCCATGAGTGGGATCTTTAAAACATGTGTAAGGCACCTTTGAGCAAAAGCACTGATGATTTGCTTTTTTATAAAGCTTAACTGTTTATAGAAATCACAGTGTATGTCATGTCTACATAAACTGAATTTTCCTTTGAATGGCTGGGTAAGTATTTGTAGAATGAGAAAAAAAAAAAAAAAAAGCCACACTAAGAAGTTCACATTTTAGTATCTCTCTTGCTTAATGCATTTTTAATGCATCTTTTTAAATAAAATCACATAAAACCAAAACCAGTTGTTTGTCTGTCTTCTCTTGAGCCATCCTCAAGCTCATGTTGAAGTTGGGACTGTTCTTATTTACGTTGCACGCCAATAGCTAGCTCAGTAGCTGGAGATCAAGAAGACACAATTTGCTGGTTACTGGAGCTGAAGTTATAAATTCTAGGAAGTCCCTGAATAGCACATTAAACTGACTCTACACTGGTGTGGAACTGACTGAACCTATTCCAGTGAGGTGGCTGCTGGCAACCAAGGGGAAAGCAGAAGCAGCAGGAGGAAGCAAAGCAAAACTTGGAGTAATCCTGTCTAATTCTGAGATCCCATTAGGAGCCAAAGTGATGGCATAGGGAAGACAACAGTGTCCCCTACTGCCCTTCCAAAATGTAGTTGCTGGGAGAAACATTTAAGAAAATGCCTGAATCCTTCCAAAAGATAAATGTCCTTCAATTGAATTGTTCAGACTCCTTAAAAAAATTAAAAAAAAAAAAAAAAAGAGGGGAAAAAAATCAGATCTTTATCTACTTGATAGATGATTTAATCATTTACATGTACCTTTGAAGATTAAAAGACTAATGGAGGTGCTTTTTGTGAGGCTTAACAGGACTATCCTGATACATCTGTGGTATGTATCCAGTAATAAATTACCTCAGGTACATTTTTAGAGTTGTTAAGTGCAACTTGCAAAGAGGAATGGTAATAGCATACGTACAAGCGGCTTGTCTAACTAAAATACATATATGCATTAGAAGAGGTTCCATTCCCACTCACGTGTGTAAGTGAAAGATCACTACTTGAACAGGAAGGTTGCAGACACAATATTCATGCAAAATTACCTCATTCATGTGTACCCCCAACCAAGCTGTAGAACCATCTGAACATACACTAGCACTTAAGTGTAGCTGTGTATGGTTTTTTGAATGCTATTGAAGTGTCAATAGTTGTATTAATCCGTCTGCCGTTGTGGAGCAACTTCTTTAACATGTTCCTCTCCTTCCTTTCTTTCCTTCATGCCTTCCTCCAGATTAGCACTGCGTGCTCCTCTGAGTAGATTATATCAAGAAGTGGAGACTTTCAGGTACAGGGCCATCTCAGACACATGGCTAACAGTAAACCGAATGGAACAGTATCGGACTGAATACAGAGGGGCTCTACTCTGGATGAAAGATGTGTCTCAGGAGCTGGATCCAGATCTTTATAAGCAGATGGAAAAGTTCAGGAAGGTATGAAGTTTCCTGTCATTTCCTAGAAGGAGATGCGTGATGAATGACAATGAAGCATTGGTTTGATTCTTCTGAGGAAGACATAATTCAGCAGCCCTGTGGATGCCATTTATCATAACTAATCTTTTCTGTGTGACAGAAGCCCGACTAATCTGATATGGAATACGGTATCCTTCACAGAGTGGGCTGTAAGGAAAGATACGGTAGTAAGAAACAGCATTTTTCAGTAGTCTATTCAACTTCAGACTAAATCTTTATAATTTAAATAATACATATTTTTAAAGAAGGTTGTCTAATTTTAAATACTTAGCTGTGATGCCTGAATGACTAATGGAAAAAAATATGTCTGCTGGGGAAAGGAAAGTTGATTTTTGCAACTGAAAAGTACAGAATAACAGAAATACTGGAGTATCTGCTTCTAATTTTTTGGGTGCAGTTAAAGACAAACATTTTCAAAATTGGCTATTGTTAGATTTTGGGGAGGAGTTGCAAATGTGGAATTTGTTTTTAAGTTACTTGTGCAGTTCAGCATGACTCTTGGGCAATTGCTAAACACTGAAACTGCTAAGAATGCACTCTCCATAAATCATCTTTATTCAGTGTCACTCAAGTTTGCTAAACTCCTCCTCTCCCAAAGGGCTTCCAAAAATCACGAGTCCTAGGTGGTAGTCTGCAGTTTTGCTGCCAGGTGTGTATGTAGAATTTATTTGGACTGATCCTGTCCCAATCAATTCAGGAATGCTCATGAGAACTCCACATTTCATCTTGAGGCTCTAGAGCCAATTTTGTTAAAAGACTGTAATGTTCACAGTTTGCTGTTTTTACACCTTGACTATTAGGAGGAAGTAGGATCCTAGGTATAACATGGTGGCTTGTGCTTTGTGTAAAGGCAGCAAAAACATTTACAGAAATTGTGTGATAATTGAAAGCAGAGGCATAATAGCAGAAATTATATTAAAGTGTACGTGCATATATGCATGTGGCTTAGACACAGATAATGTACAAAAGAGAAAACCCTGTTCATTGATGGCTTAAGCAGTCTGTGACTGAAAGTGTTTGGAGGCGAAAGATACTTAATTTGAGATTTTAAAAGCTCAATAAACCATCGTAACAGGAAAGGACTGGCATGCGTCTAGGCTATGCCATTCTTTGTAAACTGAAGTGGTGACAATAGCAATTAAGGAAGGGGTGGAACAAATGAAACCCCAGCTAGTCATCTAATCTTTATTTAATGCTTCAATACAGGATATTCCTGTAAGTCGTGTGGCACCAGACATGTATTTTATTATGCCTTGTGGGAAGTGTTTATAATGGCATGTTCTTGCAGGTAAAATAATTGGTATGGTCTTGGCCTCAGCCAATTGCTTACGTATAATGTTTGATTTATTAGAAAAACACTTTAAAAATGGAATGTTAGAATGAATAAAGCAGAACTGGTAATGGTCAAGCAAAATTGATTTATAGCTTTCTTGCAAAAGAAATGCTATGGAAGGTATGAATTATATAAATGGCAAAGTAATTAAAATAATGTATGCTTTATACAGTGAGCTGCTGTAGTTAAAAAGTTAGATGTGAAATTTCAGCCATCTTGGGTTGCTGTGCTTCAAGGTCAGCAAAAATAAGATTTTATTTTTTTTTTTAAATCTCTCACAAAACTTAGTAATAAAAATGTGGAAATACTAAGTATTTTGCAATATTTCTAAGTCTGAAATGAGTTACATTCTCATGTAAAGAAATAATGAACGTAGATTCTAAAACTGTAGTGTTACCTCAAATAGTATAAAAAAAAAAAAAACTGGGGAAGGTCTTTTGAACCTTTCTTTCCTCTGACTGGCTGTCAGCTGAAAACCTTTCAGATCACATTGTAACACAGAGAACAAAAAGCTCTATATTTGGTAGCCAACAAAGTAAAGAAATGCACTTGGTATCCACTTCCCTACATATCCCATCTGTGCAACAGGCATATCAAACTAGTCTTTGAAGATTTCAACACTTGCAGAAAGTAAACTTTTTATTTTTTCATTTGGGGAAAAAAAAAATCCTCAAGCATAATGTACCTAGATAGTTGTTTTTAAACAAGACACAACAGCTTGGTTTTAGCTCTCTACAAATGTAGTAGGTAAACAAGACTGATGGTGGATACTATAGTCCTAAATAATTAAAGTAGAAGAATTATTTTTATTGTCTTTTTGTTCTATTCTTGCTTGCAGATCTGAGTTGTGCCATAGTGTGGCAGTGTAATGCTGGGTTTTTAGGGCTTATTTTGGATCTGTAACAACAATTTAAGAAGTTTTGCTACTTTTGTGTTGAGGAAGATACCATAATTGCTAATTTAAGGTTTTTGGTTCTAAAATATACCATCACTGGAGAGAAGTGTTTGATCTGGATCTGCATATCTAGTGATACACCATCAAGTAGTTAATGAAGTTGATCTTGTCAGAGCAATTGAAATAAAATTTTCTTGAGACTTCTAATTGTTAAAATCCTAAGTATTACTTTAGTAAACTTTTATTTCAAGCAAACAGTGCTGCTTTAGTGATCTAGTGCACCAGCAGTATTTGTATCACTTGGTTGTAGGACTGTTTTTCAAATATATAGCCTTTTATAATATAATCCTAAATGTACCATTATGTATACAGATATGGTACTTGTTTTTGGAGACCAAAGCTAAATCAATCCAGATGGGTTTTTCATACCTTCCCTCAGAATAACTCAGGCTAAAAGATCAATAGTTGAGCCAGTATTTTCAGAGCTGATAAAATCTGAGTTAAAACACTGGCATTTTTGTAGCTCTCTTTCTAAACAATGAGGTACTTGAAAGAATTTTCTAATGCTGTTCTCAAGGCATCAGTCTAAATATGCAAGACGCAGCAATACTACCACTTTCAAAGTGATCCAGAACACTATAGAACAGCCTTTTTACATTGTTGTTTGTAGATGTCCATGTGATTGTAACTACTTGAGTCAAACCAGGGAAACAGGTGAAGTATTTTCTTTTCCCTGCAGAATTCTATAATGCTATGCAACTTGATTTTTTTTTTCTTTCTATTAACAGTTTTTTGTGGACGCTCCAAGTGGTGGTGTAGATGTAGAGGCCTTTCATCCCACTTTCAGAGTTTGAAGTGTTGCTTGAGAGAATCTAAACAGCATCTTGGAAGTTCTTTGATATTTAAAATAATTTGAATGAGTTAATACCCCTTTACCAAATTCTCTACTACTGATCAGGTTTTTAAGGTTCTTAAATCCAGGCTGTTGTATCTGCCTGGCGACTGTACACTATAGCATGAGCTCTGCCATGATGTAAAAATATGGACCAAATTGCCCAAGTGCTGATAGCCCCCCAATGCCTTTCCTCCATCTCTGTAAAAGTTTAGCTTTTCCACACATTTCCTGAGAAGGAACAAGCCAACATGCAGAGTGATAGGCTGATACCAAGCAACAGCCTCCCATGCGTAGCCTACAGGAACACAGAAGAGACTCTGCTGTTCCATTTTACTTAGCTAAGCTAGCTCAGATGCTTACACAGTGCAATATAGACTTCTCATCAAACCTAGACATTACAGTGTCACCCGTAACAAGTAAAAAACAAGAGCTGAAAAAATTATGCTGACCTTTAGGCTAACTATAAGAAAACTTACTTCTGTAACATGGCACAAGATATATCATGCTACATTGACAGAGCAAATTAATCCTTTCTATATTTGTTTTTCACTTCCATCATTCTTCTACTTCTCTGCTTCCCCTTCATTCAGAGGCTTGAACCAAAGCTGGAGTATCTTTGTAAATACCCAGTGGCCATGCTGGTGTCCCTGAGACTAGCTGCACTGCAGCAGTGTACTGAGAACTGGGTACCTGGAGGGTTGGGCTGTTTCTCCCTGTTATGTAGTCCTCTCTGCTTTGCCAAAGCTGTTTTCCTAGGAGCTCTGCTCTTGTCTGAACCAAATGAAGCTCAGATGGGACAAGCTGTGTAAGGGTAAGGAGTGATGCACAGGCTGGTTGTCTCAGCTTTGTAAATGCTGTGAGATTGATCTGCTTGGCGTAGAGTGCAAATCCTTTATCTATTGGTGTGGTACTTGGATATTACATAAGTATCTGAGTTTGTAAAACTGTACATGTTAGATGGGGTACTGTCTGGAAAAAGAGTTGGGTTTTGATCAATATATTTGTATGGGATCTGTGAGGGGAACCAGTAGCATGGTTTGTGCTGGGCCTCCTTGTTCTGGAAGATTAGAAAGGCCCTATGCTACAGTACAGAGCCCTGTACTACTATAGTGGTGTTAAAGAAATGGAATAGATCTTACCGTGGAAGAGAATTGTTGGAATATTACCCAGAAGATCCTAAATTATTACAGGACACTTAATGCGTAGCTGTTACTTTGCATGCAGCTGTCAAGAAACTTGCAAGCTTGCAGCTGAGTTGTTTGGGCACAGTTTATCTCAAGTTCTTCCTAGTAGTAGCACACTATATACTTGAAGCAAAATTAGTGCCCTTAAATGGCATTTTGAAGGTAAATCTGGCAAAAGAAAAGGAAAGGCAGTGAGAAAAAGGAAACTTCAACAGGAAGAACTCATAATGATATAACAATAGCTTAAACTGTTTTTATAAATGCACTAATGTAGGGAGTGTCTGTTCTAAGCAAGTTCTCTGTTAAATATATTTCTTAAACATTAAAGCTTGTGTGGACAGCTGGGGAATAATGAAGGTCTAAATAAATCCATTGATTAAAAGGTCAGACGGGAAATGCTGAAGTATATATATTTGTTGTAAGGATCTCAGCAATTATGGATAAGATATATCTGCATCAGCCTTACAGGGAAGGCCCGGGATGTACATCTCTGTTCCCCTGCTCTGTCCCCTTGCCTACTAGCGCTGCCTAGTATGAGTTCATTTTGGCTTGTGTGATGATGAAGGGGCTGTACCATGTCACAGCATCACCTGCTACTCACCCATTAACATCAGCTGCAAACAGCCCTGCAAACTTGGAGGCACTGTGAAATGT